AGAAGCGCCTTGTAGCTGAGCTCATCCTGGAGACAAACAGTGTCTGAAAGTTTGTGACACATTAGCAGAGTGTCACAGTGACAACTCCATGCTTGTGCACTTCAATCAGCTAGTTATAAACAAAATGGTTTCTCCTCTAATGTTCACAGTCTTTGCTACCTCACTGGAGAGGACTGAACTAATGAAGATCTCCTCCTGTGAACTCCATGAGGCATCCGCACTATTCCTTTTGTACTCATTACACCAAGCAGAACACAGACCAGAAAAAGCATTCTTTGCTGGCTATAAATCATGAGTGGCACTAAGGTATTGCTATTAGCAGGAGAAAAATGCTTTCCTCCCACAACCTCATTCAGCCCCATATACACACAATGCTTTGGCAAAGGGTGCTGAGGTGTCTGGATAGAAAATTAAATGGAGGTTGTGTTGTCTGAAGATAAATTGGTACCTCCGTTGGTGTGTGTGACTTTGTCTTTTTCTGATTTGTCTTTTAACTTACAAAACACTGAGACTAGAGATAAGGATGAGTTTTAAAACCCTTGCCTTCTTCCTCTCCCAGGCCCTCCTGAACAAATCCTTTCTCTGAAATGAGCTCAAAGAGAAGATAGATGTTCTGGCAGTAATATGCAATATTATTTTTGGCACTTGAAGAATCTCAAGCTAGATAAAGGAAGACTGAAAGGAACACAAAGCTCTGATTTTTTTTCAAATGCAAGGGGCCAAATTCTGCTCCTTCATGAATACAGAACCCTTTTTTGTTCTGGATTATTGCAGTAATTCCTGTTGTTCACCAGGTTAGCTGATCCTGAGGCCTGATTTAAAACCTAGCACATTCAGAGACTCTGTTGAAATAATGCAGTAATAACAGCCAAAAGACAAAGGCGTGTAAAGAAAGCACCAACCCCACAGCTCCTGCCCAAACAAAAGCTAATTTGTTTTCAGACCATGTTAGCTGGAACGCTGATAAGATTAACACCTGATATCTGGGGAAATGCTGAGCTGTCTGTGACCTCCTTCAGCAGAATGGCACTCCAACCCTTCTCATATTAGCATACGTTAGAACTGCTGCTTTCCTGGCCTGGTGTGTATGTCCCTACAGAGCATCTGTGAAAAGTTCAGAGCAGTGTTTCCGCTGGTTCATTTGTGGTATATTGAATAAAACATGTGCCATTTGACATTGTTTGCTTGGACTGCTGTGGGTAATGGGAGAGGGCACGTGTTACTACAGGGCAGAGAGCCACCAAAGGATGGATGTGGTCTTTGTTGGAGCAGAATGAAGCATAGGCATCACAGCAGTGTGTCACATCTTTGATTCTAAGAGAGCCCTGACCGAAGGACCCAGATCACCCTGCATTGATCTAAATGCCAGCTCTATATTTTGCCTTAAGACAACGAAAAGTAAAAAGTCCAAACCTTTGTTCTCTTTACGCACATGAGCTTGTTACAGAAATATATACTTTGGAAATCAAATGGGAACGGATTTTCAGAGCAAACTGTGCTTTAGAGGCAAAATTTCTAGTGCTTGCAGAGCCCCCAGTGTCCAAAGCACAGCTCCTGCTCTGCAAATTTCAATGTGCTTTGTCAAGCCTGAAAGTTTGGTAAGAGACTCTGGGACTCAAGGGCTCTTAGAGCAGCCTGTAGTAGGAAACAGCAGTTACTGATGCTGCTGGTTTTGAATGATGCTGTTGCCACATCTCAGCTGTTGTTGTATTTGGCATGTGAGTCATGGTTGCATGGGATAGTTAGACACCTGTGGTGTCTATTCAGAGTTAATCATCTGCTAGGACTCACTTGGCAATCAAGAACTGTTCAGTGGTACATTTTATAATACAAGATTTGTATGGTGTGACCAGGAGTCTCCTAGCATGAGAAATAGGGTACTTCTTGGGGAACTTAGAATCTCCCTCCTAAAAGCTGGGAAATATCCTCGGGTGAGTTCAATGAAGCAGCATTTTGAGAAGCATGTCAGCAAGAATCAGAAAGATCCCCAGAAGGAACTCATTTGGTCATCAGGAACACTGTCTTCCAGACAGGCTTTGCTGAAACACTTGTTCATTTTCATTTTTGTCACTGTGTGCCTAACCCTGTAATGAAATGCTGTATCCCTACCAGCTGTGCTGTTGACATGAATCATTCCATCCCACATCAGGAACACCAGGGCCAGCTCTGCAGAGGGGAGCCCCGCTTGGCCATCATTCACTGAGGCACCTTCGTCAAGGAGCAAGCAGCAGGAAGATGCCTTTGATTCCAAGAATACCTGTAACTCCTACAGGATCTGCCCTTGACACCAGTACAGCAGGGTGAGCTGGGTTTTTCCTACCCTGTCCCAAGCTCTAAGTAGTTAAAAAACTTCTGCTTCTGGTCGTTGGTTTCATGGAACAGATCATGGCAGTAAAGCCATCTTTGTTAGTATTTGGGGAACCTTCACCTGTAACAAATTTCTGTCTCATGGAAGCAAACTCATTCCTGCCTTCAATGCAGTCATGACAGTCTATAACATACTATTTGTTTTCCCAAATCAACTTTTGGTAAGAAGCTTTACTTCCTTGATCTCCACCTTCTCTTGTTCTTTTTGGCAGTGGACACTAGGGCCACTGTCCCTCAATAGAGGCATCGTGGTTTTCCACGGGGATGTATATGCACAACCAAGAGCCAGTTTATTGCCAGCAGTGGGTGTGGAAGGTTGTGTCTTTCTTCCAGTAGCAAGGAAAAGGCAGCAAACAGAAAACTATCAGTAAAGCTGCACAAGTGCCTTAATTAAATCCAACAGAATGATGCTATTACACTTGAAGTAAATAATTTCTCCTTCTCAGTTTGCTCCAGCATAAAAATACCTCTTCCCTATAAATGCTGCTGCCAGTATTTATTTGTAAAGAGCTGGGATCTATTTATTTATTTATCCATATTTAGTTTAAAAGTCTGGGCTCAAAATTAAACATTCATTCATAATGTCATTATCTGCCTCGCTCTGCAGTCAGATACAGTGTGTGGTGTCACAGGACAAAACCTTTGGCAAGGCCCCTAGAAGAGCAATTTAGTTCCTCATCCATCTCAGCTGGCAGCATGATTGGCTTCCAAGCTTGCATTGCTGAATGTGTTACTTTACACTGACATATATTATTGAGTGTTCAATCACTTTCTGAAGTGTTTATTGGTAATAGTTGAATTCTTTCCACTCATTTAAGCTGTTTTTGAAACATAAATATTTCTTTGTATCTTGGAATTTTGTGGAAATAGGGGGAGAGTTCCTCAGGAGGATGGACTGTAGAAATGACCAGCTCATTAGGCAGGGACAGAATTTACCAGTACTGTGGAGGAGAATATCCTCTTCTTTTCATCAGGATGAAGCAGCAAACTCCCACCACCACGTCACAGCACATCACATGGCAAAGGCTTACTTATGCCCTGGCTCTCTTATCATGTCATGGCCTGTAAGGAAGGAGATGACCCTCTCACTGGAACATGAATGACTTCCTGACAGGATCTTCACAGATCCAGAAGCTCCCTGAAGAAAAAAAAGACAGGCTGTGACCTGCAGGACCAGGGGAGGTTATTAGACATCAGCATGCCCATGACTACAAGTACAGAGAGTGGGCTGCAGGCCCTGCCTGGCAGTGATGTCTCTTGGGAAGGAACCAGTGACCACTTTCTTGTACCTAGTTAGGAAAACAGAGCAGGGGATCAGAGAAATAAACAGAGACTAAAACCTAGTGTGGCAGTTGTAAGCTGAGCTGGAGAACAAGGGCCATAGGCAGGACAAGCTGGGGAGGCAGCAGGAGAGCTGGACTATCAAATAAGTCCTTTGACAGTTCATCTCTTGAGGACTCCGGATGTGACAAGCCCAGCAGCCTGGTCCAGGCTGGTGTCCTCAGGACTGCAATCCTCTTACCTCTTGTCCTTGCTCCATGGAAGACCTACAAATCAAAGGTTTTCTTTTTATCTTTAATGAGGAGGTCTCTCAAGTCTCTTTCCTGCACCTGGGAGTTACTTTCCAATCTGATGAACACTGACTTTTACAGACAACCCCAGTGACGAGCTGCTGAGATCACAGTAGCAATCAAGGCTCCTTTGATGGCGGAGCTAAAAATACGCTCCTCAGCTGACAGCTTTAGAGAGGGGAACATATAGTTTGGTTTGATAGAATACATCTTCCTTTGTCTGCATGTCTTCTTCTGCCAGGGGATGCCACATCCGTGACAATCATGCAAGCAGCTCACATCTGCCTTCTAAACTGAAGCACCCAACCTATGCTACCTCCAACCACAGAAAGAGTAAAGATTTAAAACCCACCAAGTGCTTTGGAGAATGGTGTCATTGGTAGATCTGCCTCTGGTCATGCTGGCAGCCATCAAGTTATTGCATGTCAGGAGCAAGATTTTAGGGTCTGGAGATCACCTTTGCTAACCTCCTAGGTTCAGTTTCAGTTCCCTTGACCAGCTGCCCCAGGTCTTTCCTATCCACTTGTCTGCCTGCTCTCCTCCTTGCAAAATCCAGAGCACTGGCTCACAAGCTCCCTGGTTCATGAGGTGCCCCCATAGCCTTGCTCTTACACTTGTAAAGGAAGCTGCGGTAGGTAGTGTCACTGCCACCTCCTGGGCTTTCTGAGGACCTGAGTTCATCCCATGGGTTGCAAATATAGATTAATGCAAATGCTGTGCAAGAAATCATGGATTGCCCAGCTTCAACCTGCTCCCTTCCCAGGACACCAGAGTGATGGCACTAGCCAGCCCATGCTTGCAGAAGAGTGTAAGTCTCCCTCCCCTTGGAGACATTAGCTAAAGTTGGAACATTAAGGCTTTTGGGTAGGAAACATACAGATGAAGAAACATACACAATAAGGTTCTGCATTTGTAATGTGTAGTATGTCAGAGCGTAAAAGGTTGAACAACCCATTTTGGCAAATGGAAATAGCAAAAGGGCGTGTTTGGCTAAATGAAAGCCTCTTCTGTGTGATTTTTCATGCTCCTGCATGCATAACTTGAATGCAGAGAAAGGCGAAATTCATTTGTTTGGTCAGACAGAAATATATCAGGTTTATTGTTTTGCGAGATACAGGGGGTGCTTCTACGTGCCTGCAGTAGCTATAATGTTCTGGCAACACAATGCTCTGCCAAAAAAAGGCATTCACACAGGAATGTCTCTGGGCTCAGTCAGCCTCAGTCCTGGAGGTGGGTGTCCCATCCCTAAACCTCTGTGGGCAGTGGTACATTGCCAGGAGTCTGTTTGATGCTCCCATTTAGGGTGCTGGCCCTGAAGATGTACGACCTCCCTCTAACAGAGCCTTCAGTGTGGATGCTTTCTGGTTTGTTCTGGCAACGGAAGAACATGAGGAAGCCGTTCCGGTAGTTCTTGTTCATCCATCCGTAGAGCAGGGGGTTGACAAATGTAGAGCACATGGCACCGACATGGAAAACAGTGTACAGCAGTTTGTAGTCATGGAAGATAAGGACCAGATCAAGATCAATGGCAAGCTGGAATATGTGGAAGGGGAGCCAACAGACTGCGAATACTACAACTACCATCACTAGCATTTTGGTAGTCTTCCTCCTCCGGCACTGGTTTTCATTCCTAGAAGTAGGGCTGACATGGTTTTTCAGCTTGAACCAGATCCTGGTGTAGGCAAAACAAATAATTGCAAGGGGAAGGACATACTGCAGGAGGAGCATGGACAGGCTGTAGATGGTGGCATCTCTGTTATTGCCAGAAGGCCATTTTTCCGAGCAGACAGCCATTTTGAGGTTGATGGATGGGATTTCCTCATATCGGTACTCTCTGAAGATGGCCAGAGGACCTGCCAGCACAGCTGCTGCTAGCCACATGACAGCAATGATGGTGAAGCTGAGCCTCTTGGAAATCCTGCTGTCCAGGTGGAAAACAATACACCGATACCTATCCAGGGCAATCACAGTTAGGGTGAGAGTGGACACATGGACACTCAGAGCCTGAGCATAAGGAACCAGATGACAAAGAACAGCCCCAAACTTCCACTCATCCAGCAGCGTGTAGACCAGGGTGAAGGGCAGACAGAGTGTGTCCACCATGAGATCTGCCAGGGCCAGGTTAGCTATGAAGAAGTTGGTGACAGTCCTCATGGTCTTGTACTTCACTATGATGTAAATGACCAAGGAGTTGCCTATGAACCCCAGCAGAATGATGAGGGAGTAGGCAGCAATCAGAACAACCTGCACCCCCAGGATCTTGGTGCTGTCCATCATAACACTGCGCGACCCAGAGAGATCCTGGCTAGGAGTGACAAAGTCCTTGGCATGCCAGCCCTGTGGCAGCTTCTCCTCCAACGCTGTCTTCTCCATGGTGAGAGTGCTGTTGGCTCCCTCCAATGGTCCCATGCGTGGCCTGAGACTTTCTGTCAGGAGGTGAAGGAGGTCTGGAACACAGACACAGCAGAAGTGAGAGCTCAGGAGACAGCAGAGCATCTTCAAGAATTGAGACTCAAAGGGCATGTCCCACATGGCATTCTGGGCTAAACAGCAGCAGTGGTGACATCCTCCTTCCTTCTCCCTTACTCCCCACCCATTCTCATACTGAACGGTCTTGCAGCTCTCTTTCTTACACTTCCTGTTAGAACCTGTGATCAGTTGAATGCCAGTTCCCCAAGGAAAGGTCAGGGAAAAATGCAACATTTCACCCAAGCTTCTGAGATTCTGTTTATTTGAATCAAATGGAGAAAAAAACCCTCAACTAGCCAGGGCCAGAATGGTAGGTCCTGAAGAGATCTCCTGCTCATGGAGACCCTTTGCATGCTGCCTCTTCTGCTTCCTCAGGCTAGGCTTTCCAAAACAGGGAAGTCACTTCAAGCAAGCCAAAACTCTGGGACCTCTTGGGGCTGACAGAAGCAATCGCTGATGGTGTCAGTCATCTTTGATGAGATTTACTGGCCTACAAAAAAAGCCCCGTGTCCTAACTCCTTAAAAACTAGGAAAGGAGAAAAACAAGACATTGTCAAATTCATGTGTTTTTCTCCAGCTCCCCATAACTGTTTATTTCCAGATTGTGCACCAGGTTTTTCCAGTTTCTTACTTCTCACCTCTCCAGGTGAAAGTATCTGTCACCCTGTCTCTGCATGAGTCTCCAGCACTGCTCCTGCTAGTGATGCACCCAACTAAACCCAGTGGACCCTGCTCCCAGCCCATGGTAAAGTGGTTAGCAAAACTAATACCATTTTGTGAGGCAAGCAGCCACTCTCTGTGAGCAAGCAGGTCATGTATTATTCCCTCTTCCTCACTATCCGGCCCTGAAGGTCCTGTGAACCAGCTACAGAAACCAAACAGTTTTCTTCCTCCCCTGCCAGCCTCAAGGCTCCTGGGTGCCAGGATGATTACTCGCTTCCTGTCTGGCCTTGAAGGTCCCATGCACCCAGTCAGGCAGCTGTTGATGACGCCATCACGGAACAGGGAAGCATAACAGCACACAGCACTGGCCATAAAATCGAGCATTTACAGTCCTAAGTGGGAAACTACTGGACAGTGAGACCCATAGCTAGGGATGCTCCCACCAGCCTTGTTCCCTTCGAGGACTGAGTGTGTCCTTTATACTTTTATAGGACTTTTAAGACTAGATGATGATTGTTATATGGGTACAGCAAACCATGTATTAGAATTTGATCTGCAGAGGGTTCAGGTGATTATAAGTTAATTTGTATTATAAACTGTGTATTACTTAGGTGATCAGATATAATTTGCGTCATAAATTCTGTATTGCACTACTTGTAGATTGTACTACATGGATTTGGCTTACAGAAATCCTGTGCTACACTAACCTTAATATCCTGTTAACATAACAAAGCTTTAATTGTAACCACAATTTATTGTTGTTGTTTAGTTGTTGCCAAGGGTCCCTAAAAGAACCTGTCTGTCCTCTCCATGTCAGTGACACCCAGTCTGTGCTGGCTGTGCAAGGAGGGAGTTCCTGCAGGGGCTTTTGCAGGGGGCAAACTGCTGGAGCTGTGAACCAGCCTCCTGCAGAGCTGTTGCTGAGAGTTCAGGTACAAACAGGCCTGACAGCTAAAGCTGCAGCATCAGTGAGCTCCTGCCACGTGGTGCTCAAATCTCTGCGTGAGCTTGGCTTTGGGAGCAGGGAGCCTGGCTGATAAGCCAGAACTGAGTCGGGCTGAAACCCATGGCTGGCATTTGGTGCCATTGTAACAGCAGAGTGCTGTCACGACGGGGCTATCATTGAGTCCAAACACAGCAGGAGAAAAGCCAACTCTGTTACTGGCTCCTTCTCAGCCTCCGTGGCTTAGAATTGCTGCTGGGGTATGTGGAGAGGGGTGGACATGGCCCCTTACATGCCCCATCTCCCCAGCACTGTGTGGGGGCCCCATTCCCACTACACACTTGATCAAAAGTGAGCAAAAGTCATGACTGTGCCCAAACAGGGTGGTCTGCAGAGCGTTGTGTTTTCTCTGACCTGCAGAGAGAGGGGATAATGCCCTGCCACTGAGGGCTTAAATGAAGCTGGGAATTAGAGGCACACTGCTGTGAACCTTCTCAACTGAGGGATTAATTGGCCTGGGTTTGTACCAGATGAGATTGGAGCATTTGATAACTGGGTGCTGGTGGGCTTCCTGCAAGTCCCATACCCTGCCAGGCAAGTGTTTAAGGACAGCCTGTCCTAGGAAAGGGGGAATGCTTTTCTGTACATTTTATGAAATGCTGAAACTGCATTTCAGCCAGTTCCATAAACAAACGGGATAAAATAATGCTGTCAAGATGGTCAAGGTGGCAGTGATTAAGTTGCAATGAATAATTCTGCATGTTCTTTCATCGCTCCTCAGAGTAAGGGTTGTGATTCCCCGTTGGGAGCTGCTCCTAGGGGCTGCAAAAGAGCTGCCTATGTTAGATAGCCCCTGCTTGCACACTTGCTTTCTCCTGTCTTCTCCATGTTCCTTGGCTTGCCTAACTTACCTAACTGCTGGCCAGTTTAGGCCAAAGATTGCTGTACGTGGAGTTGCTGGGCTCAAATACTGTGATAATGGATGCCATACAGCTACCTAAGAGGATAAGAGGGTAGCTCTAGGCAGCACGAGGAAAAAATGGGTGGATTTGCTGGGGTAGGGGTTTGCTAAAGGGTGGTCTCAGATCTCCACAACACCACTGCCCCCAGCCCTGGAAAAGTCCTATTTTCTATGGCAGGAGAGACGACCTCAAAGCCACCCCATGCAGCTGATGCAGTGGGACTCAGAGCAAGGCAACAGGCATTGCTTGATCACTGTCACTTGTAACCCCTTTTCTGTGACTTGCCCATTCACCTTCAGTACCCAGTCCTGGCACAGCACCAATGGACACTCTTCCCTTTTTCCCTACCTCACCCACCAATTGGTTGCCAGTTCACATGTTCACATCTCAGGCTTTTCCCTTTCACTGGAGACTGGCAGCTACCCACTATCTGAGAGGAGCCAGGAACATCATGATTATTGAAGCTGTTTTGCTTCCTAACAAAATGGCCTTAATGGAGTTATTATTTGATTTGCTTTGCTTTGTGTTTTTTTCCAAAGGAGAACTATTAAAAATCAATTAAGGCATTTTAATTAAGAGACAAAATGGTCATAACAAGTGTTCCCACTCCAGGGGCTGCCTGGAGGTCACAGGGATGCTGCTAGGAGTGAACTGAGGTCTGTTCCAGCAAGTAATGGAAGAACTGGCATATGTCTAGGCTGCTGCAGGCACACACTCCCATGCCCAACAGGCCTGCCAGGCTAGATGGAAAAATCCTTGGAGCAGGGACACAACTGCTCTGGGAGAACAGAGCAGCATGGCAGACCAGGAGTAGACAGAAAGAAACCTAAGCCCTTTCCTCTGTGCTGGGCTGCCATGAAGGGATGCAGAAACAGGGCATTGCCTAGATCCTGCCCTCACCCTCTCTTCCAGCTGCGATTCAGCCTGAGGCAGGGCTGGAACACAGGGAAGGCTCCCAAAGAGGCAGAAAACTGTTCCCTGTGCCAGCAGGCTTCAGCCTTTGGGAAGGGAGGAAGCACAGAGGAGCTGTAAAACCTCAGCTCTTTGCTGAGCACACTGCTGTCCGTGATTGAGAGGGACAGTGACCACCATGGCAACTCCAAAATCCATTCCTACAGCAGGCCAAGTTTAGGTGTCCTGTGACTCACATGCACCTCTGCTTCCTCGGGACAGCCCATGTCCCTGCTGCAACCCGAGGCACACAGCCTGGTCCAGCTCTGACAGGGCATATCCAGACGTAGAAGAGCCATCTGCAAAGCCTGGCAGGGTTCAGAAAGCAGGGCTGGAGAGGTGGGCAGAGGGCTGGAGAAAACACAGCTTGTTAATTAAAATTCCTCTTTTTGTCCCAGGAAGCAAGCCTGGGGTTGCTGCAGGCAGCAGGCACGTGGCGTGGGGACAAGGGGTGCAGGAAAGAGGGAGGTAAGGGCAAAGATTGCTCAGAATGTAGCCAGCAATTGTAATTCTATCACAGTAATCATGGATTGGAAGGGAGGGAGTGGAGGGACTTTGACCAGCCTCTGCTCTCTGGCTAATGACAGCCGCAATGTCCCCCTACAGCAGCGCTGGGGTGTGAGCACTGAGGCTGATGGATACTCCCATGACTTAGCTCACTGACTTACTCTCTGCTGTGTCCTTCCTCCAAAGCATCTCAACTGCATGAAACCCTTCATTTCCAGCAGCTGTCTGGAACACTGGCTCCCAGTGCTCATCCCCAGTCCCATAGCTGGCAGCAGGCAGGTGTCTGTGGCAAGGAGGTCTGAGATCATCCCTCATCACCAGAACCCAGCTGTCACCCTGGGGAATCCACCTTTTACCTTTACTTTTCATGTTCCCCTACAGCACTCGAGAGGCACTAATGGGATGAAGCCCTGCACCACACAGCACAGCATTTAAAAGAGGAGAACACAATAAACTGAGATATGGAGGTTAAATCAGCTTGCCAGAGACCACACAGCACATCCACAGCAGGGCTGGGAACAGAGCCCAAGTTTGCTAACTCCAGTCTCCTGCATTCCCCACCAGAGAGGACTCTGCATCTCTCAGGATAAAACCTGAACGTGGATTTCAGGAGCTGCATGAAAATGCAAAATGTAAGTGATGGAGGGGAAGGGTTTTGCCTTCTCTGTGCAATGGGCTGGCAAACAGCAGCTCTGGGGTGATTTCCTGAAGCCAAATGGCAGAGAGAAATTGTCCCAGGTTCTTCCATCTGCAGTGAAGGGGTGATTGTCCTACTATGACACCATTGAAGAAGGGAAGACCCTTTGACCTGCCCACTGTCTTCTGCATCTTTCTAAATTACCTACCCAGATCAGGCCCATTGGTGCAGAAATCTCATGGCATCAGACACACATTGCCAGCCCTGCATGTACAAAGCTGCAGGGCCCCGGAGCTGCTTTTAGGGGACCCCAGTGTAGAACTGGCACTGGGAGACAAAGTGCAAGGAGGAGGGGATACTTGTGGTTCCTCACTCCAAGTATTTGCAGGTCCCTGCCTAGGTCGGAGCCAGAGAAGACTGAAGGGGACAAGGCAAGAAGGATGCTTTAGCCAGTCAGCTCAGGACAGGATCAAAAAGGTGGTGATGAGAAGAGATCCATTTGGCAAGGATACATGCTTTCTCCTGGAAATCTCCCCTACAGAAAGCAGGGGGCAACAGAGCAGGACCCCTTGCCCTGCAGAACACACCATGGGAGCAGAACAAGGCTGGCTAGGAGGCAGAGGTCAGCAGGTGATGCTGCAATAGAGACACACCAGTTTCTGGGGTTGCAGAAGGAAAGAGCTTGGTGAAGGGATCCTCATCACCCTGGGGAGTCTGTTACCTCCTTAAATCTGGGGAGGCTGGGGTAGATGAGACAAGGGAGAGGGAAGTAAGAACCAACAGAACAACCAGGGAGAAAACCCAGTATCCTGTTTTGGGACAGACCGGAAACTCCATGGGTGAAATGCAGGCTACAACAGGACTACAGAAAGCTTCCTCTGTTCAACAGTTAACATGCAGTGAGCACAGAAAGACAGCAAGCACTGATTTACATCTCTCATTGAGGGCACTGATCTCTGACTGAGCCGACTGCCAGCAACATGTGCAGTCCCAGCATGGAGGAGCTGACAGGAGGTTTGAACCAAGCCACGAGGAGGCAGATTGTGGGAGAGGTATGGATTTCTCAGAGAGCCACGCACCTCAGCCCCACACCTGCACCTCTGTCACTGTACATGCCTGGTTTGTACAGCCCCCTGGAACAACCTGCTCTCCTCACTGCTCTCCCTCAGCATCCTGCTTCCCAGACCCCCTGTCGAAACTCCTGCCAGTGTTTCTTGTTCACTTTCTCTCTATTCCATCTCGCAGCTGCCAGTCCCCAAAATTCAGTTTCCCGAAGATGCTTGTACCTTTTTTGCCTGGACCATGTGTCATGGCCAAGACCTGCCCTGCTCCCTACCCCCACCACTCCGGCCAGCCCTGCCATACAGATGAGCCCTCCCCAACCCACCTGCAAAGGCCAGAGCATCCTCCTCCTCCAGGAACCGAGCTGCTCACCTCAAGTTATTGCCTCATTGCTGGCCGGGATGAAGCACTTGGTCCTCTCCACTCTCTGGGAGGCAACCTGTGGCAAAGGGGTGAAAAGCACTTTTCTGTGACTGTCCTCGGAAAAGTGAGGAAGTCAGGTGAGGATCCAAGCTGCTGGAGGGTGCTTCATCGCTGGGGGTAGCTTCAGTACAACCCTGAGCATCTGGAGAGCACCCTCTTGCAGGGTGACTGACAGCCCCCGTATCGCAAAGCTGGATGCTGGGTTAGCTCTTGAATGACAGAAAGGCAGGGAGCGTGTGTTTAACAAACAGAAATGGAAAAGGGGAGGGAGCCTGCTGCTGCTGTTTATACAGTGTTCAGCCACTGAGGGGCTTCTTGCATCGGGGAGAGAGAAGCTTTTCCAACACATCCACAGTTCCCTCTCCGGTGAAAAGTGGTGGGAGGTGGAGGTCTGCAAGCTCCTTGCCTCTGCCACTGACCAGGGCAAGTGTCCATCTGCCCTTACTCCAGAGCTGTCCCATCTGCTCAGGCTTTAAACTTGTTGGTACTGGCACAGTCTGGCCCAGGGATGAATCTTCCCTGCAGCAAGAGGTCTGCGGGTCCTGCAACTCAGCAGAGCCCTCACAGACCTCCCCTCATCCTTCTCTGCCTCTGTGTTAGTACAGTGCCCTGCATGGAGCAGTCTGCTGCTGTGGGACAGGCCTTCGGGTGCTCATGATGCAAATAGAAGTAATGGTGAGAAGTTTTAGCCACTTGGCAATGGCTCAGCCTGTTCCAGAGCCAGATTCAGTGTGGAGCTGAGAACCCGAGTGAGTTTCTATTTTAGGGTGCTCAGCACTACCCATGCTTCTGGAGCAAGAGATAGGAAGAGGCACCAAAGCAGCATCCTCATGTCCAAATCTGCAAAATCCAAGCTTGCCAGAGCCCAGGGAAGCACCCTGAGGGTGGCATGGGTAAGCAGGAGAAGCACAGCTCCCTGCCTGCCCAAAGGGTTTGCCTTCAAAGGAGTCAGGTGTGTTCCTAGCATGAGATTTGCCCCACAGGCAGTGCAGTTCAGAGGTTAGGGAGGAGGACACCTGTCCTTGGCTTTGAGTACCTACAGCTAGTAGTTTATCTGAAGAGTCTTGCTCTTTACCCCCACAGTAGACTTTGGTTTCCTCTTCTTTGTGAGAATGAAAAAGGGGAGGGTTTGCAACCACCATTCTGTGCCACAAAAGTCATGATAAACCAGGAAAAATAAAACATTTCAATGACTTAGGAGAAAAAGGAGAGAGGGAACATTCCTAAACTAAGTCACACAGAAAGTGGCACTTGAACCCAAGACTTGGACAAGGTCCTCATAAGTCCCATCCTTCCCCTTGCTGTCCCAGTCCCCCCTTCAGGAAGGAAAGGGCTCAGTGTCCCAGCACTGACAGCTGGGTAAATCCACCAGCTGCACTTGCTGTGTTTCTATGGGAGTTTTGTGTCTTCTCCCCCTTTGTTTTCCCTAAGGCTGTTTACTTAGCAGCTCTGGAAAGCTGAGAGTAGAGGAGAGCAGGACAAGACAAACCCACTTGGAAGGGGCTGTTGCTGTCTCCCAGCAGTCCACAGGGAGAGGCAGAGTAGCTAAGGTGTATGCTACTCCTGATGTTCCTGGTGGACGGATACTCCTCATGTTCCTGGTGGATGGATACTCCTCCTCTCCAGGGTCCTCAGCAGTGGGTAGGTTGATTTCTGCTCAAGAGAGATGTTTTTTCCTCCTTTCTTTTCTGGTATAAGATTTTTCTTGCCCATTCCCCAGAGAGTTTCCCGTTTTTCTCTTCCTCAGGCTGGAATAAGATGCCTGGGGAAAAGGCAATGATTGACAGGAGAGAAACTTACTGCAGCATGAAGCTGTGAACCTTCAGAAGGACCATGGGGTGAATTCCAGTCATTTTTGGCACATGGTGCTTACTGGATGACAGCAAATGCAAACTCTTAAATCACAGACTAGTCACTGCAGTCCTCAAGACCATCCTCTCCCACAGCCTCAGGGTCCAGCAGAGAGGTTAGCACTGAAACCTGCAGCGTTCCCAAGAATCCACTCAGCTCTCCAACCAGATAACATAGCCCAAAGCCCTTGTGCTTGGCAGAACAGACAGAGCCCAGGAAGGGAGACTTGCTCTTTACTCATGGTGATGCACATGGTCACAAATCATCCCCCAACAAGCGATGGAGCAGTCTAGTAAGGGAAGGCCAAGCTCAGAGTACACCTGAGGTGTCAATCCAAGTGGCATCCACCAAGACAGGGTTTGTTCCCTGCTCCCTCCATGATCCCCGTCCCTCTCTCCCGGAGCCAGGCTCTTCTCACAGCACCACAAACAGGCTGCCTGCCAGCCTGCTACAACAGCTACAACATAATTACTCCCACCCAGCTACAACATAATTATTGCTGACAGCGAGTTCATGCAGCATAGCCCTGATGCTGCCCGGCCGTCGGCTCCTTGGCAGCCAAAGGACACCTATGGTCTGCTCTTCCAGATCCCCTCTCCCTTTTGTTGGGGCAAGAGGAGCAGTCCTGGTGCTGGCTGTTGCAGCCAAAAAGACCTCCCCAGCAGCTAGCAGGTCCCAAAAGAGCTGAGGGTCTTCCTAGCCGCAACCAGCAACTATACCTTGAAGAATGAGTACGGGGAAATACAAAGATGGTCCCTTGCATTGCCCTAGGGAAGGCTGCACAGCCCCAAACAGAAGCGGTGGGTCCCACTGCATGCACAGTGTACGCTCAAATGCTGGAGCATTTCATACACGGACTGGGTACACACAAATGCCTGCGCCAGTGTTGCAGGAGCTTCGTGTCCTTTCAAACACAATGGGATTGTTCAAAGCATCTTTGCAGCCCAAAAGCCTTTCCCATGGTTGTGCTTTGATTAGGTAAAAGCGCCTCTGCTCACCTGCTCTTCTGAGAACACAACAATGAATTCTATGCTCCAGGGAGTAAAATTGATGTCAAAAAGCTGAGAAATGGGGCAGAGGAGAGGGCTGCCTTTTCATCAGCCCGTGATCTGCTCTGCCTCAGCGAGCAGGCAGGTCCTTGGTCTGCGCACCTTGCAGCTGTAAGCCACACTCTTTAGCTCAACTCCTGTCATAAAAGGCAGGCATATTATCTGATCACTCACTGGGAGAAATCTCTGCGAAATCTCTAAGAAATCTGTTACCAAGGCTTCCAGATGCTCCCGTTCATCCTGCTTCATCTGGAGCACCAGCACTGACTGACTCAACAAAGCAGCTTTTCATTTTACAAGCATCTGCTTAATTCCACCTGCACGTAATCAAAACATTTGCACTGCTCCTTCCTGCAGTGTCACACCCGTGTTTTGCTGAGCAGCCTCAGAAGCATCAGCATGTTGTGGTAACACAAAAGCCCCTGTTCCATTTGAGCCCCAGAGTTCATGGGTGCAGCGGATTTGGGAGACTGTGATGCGTTTGGGAGCTAAATTAGCCACGAAGCTGCTCAGAGGTGGGAGGGAGGATAGAAAGCTGTGTGCACCCTCTCTGAATTTAAAAGCAGATGTTCTCATTTCGTAACTGCTTATTGTCCTCATAGGAACATTTCTGGAATTAGTGGAGGAGCAGAGATAGTGGCAGGGACAAGGTTCTGCTGAAATACCTGAGCGATCTGATGCCACAATGAGAGGCACTGGAGAAGCAGCAGAAGAGACAAGCTGGATGGGTTGGCCTGGGACCGACAAATCTCTGCTCTCCTCCACGGCAGACAGAAGGCAGGGATGCTGAGTTTGTCTTCAGGGTGAGAGTCAGTGAGCCAGGAAAAAGGAGATAGTTTGGAAAGATATTAACAGGGTTTGTTTGTGTCCTGCTGAAGAGGACGCACATGGCCACACTTCAGCTCCTGGCAGGGTTAGGAGCAGGTAGGGACAGGGCTCCACTTTGGGCAAAGACACAGGGCTCATTTGATATAAGTTGATTAACTCCCTTCCTGCCCCTCGATCTCCTCCAACACACAAAATCTCCTCCTTCATCCTTACACCGGGGCAGAGGGACTCTGGGCAGCTCAGTTCCTCCAGACAGACAGCAGAGCCTCTGAGCCCAGAACTGGCCCCTTCATTTAGCTGTGGTTTCTGCAAGTCACTGCACTCAAAGCTTCACTAATTTATTAGAGGGTTGTTGCTTGTTGTTTGTGTACTGAGCCAGGTAGAAAACAGCTTCTGCAGAAGAGGATAATTGCAGTCAGATGAGCTCTTCAGAGCCAGGATTGCAAAAATACAATACTTTGTACACCAGCAGTTGTCTGGATAGGCTAGAAATCTGGCTGAGTTTTGGGGAAGGGGAATGTTTCCTGGTCCATCACAGACTCTCTGTCTGCCTTTGGGCAGATTATTTGATGTGTCTTGATACCCTGTATATGGAAGAGGTGATAAAAATGCTTCACTGTGGCAAACACACCCCTGGAGCAGTGGGCTGCATTCACTACAGGAGGCTGGGTACTTGGATGTGCAGTAGTAGCAGCCTTGCTAGGAGAGCTGAGATGACACTTTTGCCCCGTGGGGTTTATTTCTAAGTTGCCCATGTTCTGCAGTCATGGTCTTGCTCTCCCAGGCTAAATACTCCTGTTTCATAGACCCATGTTACAAATCTCTGGCCACTCTGTCACTCCCGAGATGACAAACAGCACTCTAAATACTGGACTCTGGCAATGGGAGCAGGCAGAGCTGGATGGGCTGATGGCAGCCCCAGCCTGCACTCTACCTAAGTGTCAAGATTGAAGGTGATGCAAGCGCTTGGGAAAAGATCAGGGCATTGGCACGTTTTCCATGGACTTGGTGCTGCCAGAAGGCACCGGGTTTCCAGGAGCTGAGATCTGGTGCTCAGCTCTGCCATAGAGACAACAGGATCATATTTGCTGCTTCACTGCCTTGCTCCATCTTTCCCAGCCCTGTGGGGACCCACATTAGCTGTCAGCAAGCAGCAGATTATCTGCACTATGCTCAGTGCTGCGCCAACAGCAGTATCAGTGCACACCAGTGCTGCTGGTGGCCTTTCACACCAGGGCAGGAGGGTCCGATCCACTCCTGATACAAACTCAGAGGCTTGGCTGGGAATCCATCTGGCTCCGTGTTCCCTAGAAAACGTGACTCAGAAGCCACTGTCTGACACTGAGAGATAGGTATGACACTGAGACCCCAGGAGACAGAGCAGCATCCCCACGGTACACACAGAGCACGCACAAGCCAAGCTGGAGAGCACAAAGCCTTATAAAGGCAGTGCTCTGAGTTTGTCCTTTCAGCTCCTCAGGCGATGAAAAGGACGGCTCACAACCCTAATTAACTGGAACATGCTAATACCACTGAGCTTCCCTGGCCAGCAAATCTGGCACAAGGCATGTGGGACACTTTCCAACCAACTGCTATGGGGAGCGTGTGCCTGCAATTGATTATTCGATGAGCAGTGTTTCCTCTCCGCCTTCACTGAAGAGCTCGGATCAGACATGAGGGAGGTGAGTCTGGAGCCTGTAAATCCACTTCGAAAGTCATTTCATGCTGGAGGGAGAAGAGACTTATTTCTCCCCAGGCATTAAAGATATTTAAGATGCCAGGAGAAATAGGGCTTTGCACAGCATCA